TGCAAAGTCAGGCGGCAAAGATGAGACAGGGCTAGGCAGGTTCTCTTGGATCAAGATCCGGGGTAGGGACATCCGACAACAGGAGTCTCAGACTGATGGGCCCCCGGCTGGTCCTTTAGATCTTGTGATGGTCTCTGCATATCGTCCGAACAAGGAAGGTACCAATGCTAGTAGTGATTGGAACTACCAACGGAATTACTGGCTGAGCAGGGGGGTGACTATGGATCCCCGTGACAAGCTCACACTGGATTTGGTGGACCTGATCAAACAATGGAAAGCGGAAGGGTGTGAGATTCTCCTTGGGCTAGATGCAAACAAAGATGTCTCCTACAACTCTCCTTCTTCCTTCCGCCAAGAGATGCGGTCTGAAGGTTTGACCGAGGCCATCTTAAGCCAACATCAGGGCCCTTACCCAGCGACAACCCAACGTCGGACGACGGATACTCCCATTGATGGTATATTTGTGACCTACGGTGTCCGTGTAACTGCAGGTGAATACTTGGACTTTCAGCAGTATTTTAAGTCAGACCACAGGGGACTCTGGATTGACATTGACCTGGAAGCGACTCTTCGGGCCCCACCAGTGACCTTTCCTTCCTTCCAACCACGTCGGTTGACACTGGCTGATGGTTGTTCTGTGGACCGCTATATTAAGGCTGCGGAAACGGGCTACCGGTATTTCCGCCTTCCCCAACGCTTGACCCAATTAGCGGAGGATATTTCGGTCCAGGACGGTTACCTTACGGCGAATCAACAAGCTCGATTCAACACCATTCATCGCCAGGCCTATGAGATCCGCCGAAAGGCTGAGCGCAACTGCCGGAAACTGTCGATGGGTAAGGTTCACTGGTCACCACAAATGCAGCAGAAATGGGATAGGCTGCACCTTTACTAGCTCCTGATCTTGGGCCATAAACAGGACAGGACTAGTTCACATAAGGTCCGGCGCTTGCTGCAGAAGACAGGGTTGAGTGACGCATGGAAATTATCGGAAGCTGACCTACAGGCAAAGTGGTACCTTGAACATCTAGACTACAAAGAGGTCAAGCGGAAGCGTGCCCATCAGTGGCGCCTGGAATATCTGGAGACCCGATCGGCAGCGGTCCAGAGAGCAAAGAAGGGCAACATCCAAGCTCGTACCAGACGGACTCAAGTCCAGCGGATGGCACAAAAAGAAGAGATTCGACGGCGACGGAAAGCTCAAGGCAAAGGCTGCTCTGGCGGCCTCCAGCAGATCAAAGCGGCCCAGGTGGCACAAGATGGTACCTCCCATTGGGTAACATGCCAGTCTAAACGTCTTGTGGAAGACGGCTGCATGCACGAGAACCGGCTCCGGTATGACCAGACCCGCTACCCCTACTCCACTCCACCCATGACTGAACCTTTGTACTCCGACTTCAATGGCCCCAACGCCGAAAGGAACAGCCAAGCACTGCTCCGGGGTCTCTATGAAGGTGAGACAGCGGATCCTTACCTGGTGTCATTCCTGGACCATTGCCGAAGGCCGGAGGGCTTGGAAGACCAACCACTGGAAGTGGATCTGGAGGACCATGTTAGCTTCTGGCGTAAGATGGGGGAACACAAAGGTTTTGAGCCACACGGCTTGCATAATGGCCATTTCAAAGCGGGAGTAGCATCCAACTTGCTTGCCTGCTGTGACACGATCTTTCGCTCCATCCCTTTTGCTACAGGATTTGTCCCAGCCCAGTGGTGCCACTTGCTCAATTTTGCAATTGAGAAGAAACCAGGTGAGATTCGGGTGGACCTCATGCGCACGATTCAAATGATGAATTCGGAGTTGCAGGCCAACAACAAGAGAGTGGGGAAATCGGCCATGGCCTATGCAGAGCAGCACAACCTGATCCCAAAGGGACAACATGGGTCTCGCAAGCGCCACCAGGCCATCGATCTGGCTCTTACAAAGCGTCTCACTTGGGACCTCTTGCATCTCCAAAGCCGCCCTGCCGGGTGGATCTCCAACGATGCCAAGTCCTGCTTTGACCGGATTGTCCACTGGGTGGCAATCATTAGCCTCATGCGCTTTGGGATTCAATGGTGTACCCTTTGCTCCATGTTTGATACAATGATGAAGTCTAAGCACCGGGTGCGTACGGGGTTTGGTGATTCAGACCGTGTCTTTACTCCTCCAACCCTGATTCCATTCCAAGGATGTGGACAAGGCAATGGGGCAGGACCTCCTATCTGGGTTGCAATTAGTTCCATTCTCTTGGGGATGATGATTAGCAAAGGCTTTGGCTTTGATTTTCTGATGTCAATATCTTGGGCTCCGCTCTTGGCTGATTGCTTTTGTTTTGTCGATGACACTGATGTCTGTCAAGCGGCACCGTCTCCTGACCAGTCTGGGGAATCTATCGTCCCAGAGGTGGCCAAAGCACTGAAATGGTGGTCCAACGGCGTCCGCCTTACTGGTGGCGCCATCCGACCAGATAAATCCTTTTGGTATCTGATTGACTTCAAGTGGAATGCCCAACAAGGTGTATGGAAATTCCGGCGGAAGGGGGATTTCAAATCATCTCTTCTTCCCACAGGAATGTCGGAAATTGCGGTTGAACTGGATGATCTGGATGGCACTCCAGTGCATCTACAGTGGTTGGAACTGGACGAATCGGAGAAGACTTTGGGTATCCTGATGTCCCCCTGCTCCAACAGGAAAGCACAACTTGTGGTGATGCAGGGGAAAGCAAAAGCATGGGCGGATCAGATCCAACCTAGCTTCCTCCACCAATACGATGTCCTCCCTCTCCTTCGCACCACAATCCAGAAGACTTTGGAGTACCCCATGGCGCTTGCCTTGTTCTCTCCACAGGCGTGGGACCAGATACTATCCCCAGTGCTCAGGGCGGCACTTCCAAAGGCTGGTATCTGCCGCAACTTTCCTCGTGCTATGGTCTATGCCCCCATTGCACTCCAAGGAGTGGGTGTCCCTCATCGGTACGGTCTCCAAGTCATCAAGCACTTGGACATGCTACTTTGCCACCCTGCCAATAAGACCAAGACGGGCGCCTTCTTGGAGGCAGTCCTCCAGGCACATCAGCTTGAAACCGGTACCTCATACGACCTCTTCCAACAAGTCTATGCCAACACCTCCATCCTGGCGTCTGACACGTGGGCAAAGCGGACCTGGAGTGAACTCGACTCTCTCTCCATCCACCTGGAGTTTGATTCCCCCTCTCGTCAGCCACTACGCCAAGGAGACCAACTGTTAGTTGACTTGTTCATTGATTCTTTGGTGGACCAACTTACTCTGAAATGGCTCAACTGGTGTTGGATCTTCCTGCACGCAGTCACTCTTTCTGATATTGTGAATGCTGAAGGGACAGCAAATTACGTTGCAGGTATGGAAAGGGCTAAGAGCGGACAGCTGTTCTGATTGCTACCAATGGCCCCGCACTGCTCGTCCGTCTAACCAATGGTGGATTGCATGGCAACAATGGATCTCTACTCACCTGACCGGCCACTCCAACCGACGCTGTCTCAGTTCTCCATTAGGCCCGTGGCATTCCGTTGGAAGTGGCAATACTCCCCCTCTACCAATACCCTGTTCCACTGTGAGGGTCAACTATGGATCCCTTCCGTCCCTCTCGCCTCCACCAGCCGTCAGCGCACCTTCTACTTGCCTCGCCGCTTCAACCCTGATCACCCACCTCTACCAGTGGACGCTG